TTTTTCCACTTATTTTTATTAGTTGGAGGCTAATTACTTTACAATTTTGTAGTGGTTTTTGCCATACATTGACATGAATCAGCCATGGATTTACATGTGTTCCCCATCCTGAACCCCCTAGCATTTATTGCTTGTAGACTTTTGGATAGCAGCCATTCTGACTGGCAAGTAATGGTACCTCATTGAGGTTTTGATTTGCAAAAAATGCCTTTTCCTTCCTAATATTACTTAGGTTTATCCAAGATTGCAGTTCACCATTTCAGTGATGGTCAAGATTTGCTAGATAAGGAGGCACTTGTAAAGATCTGAAGGCAACAGTCTGAAAGTGAAAGTGAAAGTCGTTCAGTCCTGTCCGACTCTTTGTGACTGCATGAACTATACTGCCCATGGAATTCTCCAGGCCAGAATACTGTAATGGGTAGCCTTTTCCCTTCTCCAGGGGATCTTCCCAACTCAGGGATTGAACCGAGGTGTCCTGCATTGCAGGCAGATTCTTTACCAACTGAGCTATCAGGGAAGCCCTTTGTGCAAAGATGTCTCCCTGATTGTTGTATTAAATAAAAGTTCTAAAGTATTCCTCAGACTCCATGAGGAATCAGGCAGCTAGGTTTAAGTATGTTACTCATAAAAAGGAAGCAGGAAAAGGAACTCAGCTTACAATGCTTAAAATTGTAGCTTTTAACGCTGGCACTACATTAGAGTCACCTGGGAAGTGTTTTAAAAATGTGGAGATCCATGCCATATCTCAGAGCAGTTAGATCAGAATCTAAGGAGACCCAAGTAATGTGTATTTTTAAGTTCCTAGGTGATTTTAACATGCAGCTAGTGTTGAGAACCATCAGTTTTAAAGAAAAAAATGCTGAGCAGATTAGCAAATAAGTTTTAAGAAAATGATTTCAATATGCTCTGGCCAAAAGAGCATTGATTGATAGATTGTAGAGTCAAAAGGACCTGGGTAACATTTCTGGCTTAGTTATGTATTATCTATGTGATCCTGGGTAATGTATTTATTTTCTCTGAGCTTCACTTTATCTGTAAAACAGAAAAAATATAGTACTTATTCCATAAAGTTATTGTGAGAATGACATAAAATTTTGTGATTGGGTTTAGCACAGTTCCTTATACTGATTACTTAAATAAATCCTTTTAAAATATGTAGCATGAAACTAACTTTTAAGCTATATAATATACATTCAGAAAAGTTGGAGAAAATCTCATTTCAGAGAGTGAATGGTCAGGATGGCATCATAACCAAGAGGGGACACTCATTTCAAGGAGGATAATAAACTATTCCATGTTCCAGGCTCCATGAAGATGGACCCCTGCTCTGACTCACTGTAGACTGGTGAAAGGACATCCTTTGGGATCTGTCACCAGGATAGGTGACTCCTTTGTCAAGCCATCAGCAATAGTAATACAAAGAGGGGAAACACACTTGGGTGTCATCAAAACTATTCCTCACGTCCTCCAGAAATGCAAACAGATGGAGACACGTCAGAAAGGCACTTACTTCAACACTGCAAGGAAGGAAATGCTTTTAGTTAGGCATAAACCCACAGCCTTCACAATTTGGAAGATGAATTTACTCCATTGCCCCTATCTAATAGTTAAGGGATGGTGCAATGCTCACTAATAAGCACCTATGAGGGAAAAAGAAAAAGGCAGGGACTACATTGATGCTACTGTTAGAAATCCTTATAAATTAGGCATTCTATGGCACCATCAGAATTTTACTTCTAGCCACTGAGATATTTTTGGAGTCTGAGAAATTGATAGTGTACAAGGCTGAGTGCCCAGAAGATATTGCATCTACGGTATTCAAATGTCTACTGGCAGTGACAATGGATAAAGACATCCCCATTGATATATCACAACGTGAGAAAGAGATACAGGTCTCTAGATGAAAACATTCGGGCACCAATTTGGTCTGCTGGCACATTACCTCATTCGTCCCTGAGCATTAATGAGTTAGCCTTTAAGTTGTTATTCCATAACCTCCATTTGAGCAAAGCCTGCAGTCGTGATGAACAAAATAGCTCATTTTACCCTATGCGGTGTAATGCCCCAAAATAATTAGATTTGGGAACAGCACTTTTCAATACATGGAGTCAGCCCATCACACCAGAGCAGAAGCTCATAAACTGGTTCAAATATCACCAAATGTCCCACCATTTAACTTGAAGAAGAAAAAAAATTTTCTCCTTTAAATGACTACAAAAATCTGCACAGCCAAGCAACAGAATTAAATGAGTCTGCCCACAAGAGACATGTCTATAAAGTCTACTTTTTAAACAATTTTCTTGCTTTAAAACCAATAGCTAAATTTAGCCCTTAAAATGCATAACTTGGTATTTTCTATCAAAGTTGCTAATAAGACAGCACCAAAGGAGACAAGTTGCTTTTGCTTCCAAATGAGAGACTGTGTGTGTATGTGTGTGAGCACACTCACATGTGTGCATGTACTGGGGAGTGGGAGTGGAGTGTATGTAGGGGATATTATTAATGTAATATTGATTCTGTGTTCTGAGGTCCTAGCACCATGACAAACACATGATAGATATTTAGCAAATATTTATTGAATAGAAAAATAAAACAAATGCATAGAACCAAATCTGGCCTGATTAAAAGAAAAAATAAAAAGATGAAACAATGTGGTACAAGACAGCTGGCTGCCACATATATCTCAGGTACAAGAGTATTTTATTTGAACACTGAGTGGCACTCAGAGACTTTACTGACCACATAAAAACTAATTAAATAATTCTTTGATTTTAAAGTAATTTGTAGCTTATAATCAGAGTACAGGGTTGAGTAAACAAGGTAATATGACAAATCTTCATAAATGAGAAGCATATCCTTACTACTGTCTTCTATATTGGTCATTTATCCCTAATTACTTGAATCCTATGTTTGGGGAAGCAACTGATATTTTAACTGTGGCTAAGACTTTTTAATGTGACTAAGACTGTATTTTAGATACAAAGTTTATAGCAGAATATATCTCATAGTCAATTTTATTCTTCCAACTGCTCCCAAAACATCTCAGTGGTGACTACAGGTCCCCTAACTCTCAGTATGAGTCAGTGAAAACACCCCGTTGGGGATTGGCTCTGCTTACTGCTCTAGCCCTTGAGCTTACTTTCTTCAGCATCTCAGAAGACCAGTCACGAAGATAGAAACTTTGCTATATTAATGATTCTGCCAATTATACAGAAAAGGCCAAGCCTTGAGGGGGAAGTGGGGAGGGAAGTTTAACTTGGAGCTTAGTTCCAGAAGCTTTACTGTTGTGGGCACACAAACTTATCTGTGCCTGCCAAGGGAACATCTGGAAAAAGCCCAAGCGCTGATGCTGGGCTGAAGAATTTTCAATGAGTACAGAAGCAGAAAGTGAGTGTTAGTCGCTCAGTCGTGTCCTACTGTTTGCAACTCCATGGACTGTAGCTTACCAGTCTCCTCTGTCCATGGAATTGTCTAGGCAAGAATACTGGAGTGGGTTGCCATTTCCTTCTCCAGGGGATCTTCCCGACTCAGGGAGTGAACCTGCTTCTCTTACGTCTTCTCCTGCATTGGCAGGGGGGTTCTTTACCACTAGTGCCACCTGGAAGAAACAGAAGAGTGGCTGGTGAATATCTGTGACTTCTAGAGACATTCAAAGAATAAAGGTAGGTGATAAGGGATAGAGATGCTTGCTGATTGAAGTTTGAATGTCCCACATATTCAACTATTCCTAGTGAACTTCTAATTGTGCCTTTTTTCCAACTGGAAATGGCAGCTCTGGGTAGAATTTAGAAGACCTTGGTTCTATTCCTGACAATGTCACTAAGCATCCGGGTGTACTCTGGATCACTCTATGGCTAGCCTTTCTCCACTGAGATTCTAGCTCCTAATATCAACTCCTCAGACAGGCTTTCCCTTCAACTTTACTTAACCTAATGTTGTCTTTCCAAACTCTGAGTTTTCTCTATTCCATTAGCTTGCTTTGTTTTCCTTAAAATTGTATTATTCAAAATTATTTGTGTATTTCTTTGTTGAGTGGTTGTCCATCTTTTCCTTTAGATTGTAAAATCCATGAGAATGCCCCTAGTGCCTATCCCATTGCCCAGAACACACCAAGCACCCAATGAATACTAGTCAAGTGCATGTCCAGGAACAAAGTATGTAACTTTTTTTGTGGCTTAAATTCATTATCTATAAGATTAACAGAAACCACCTTGATCATTTTCAAGATTAGCATGATAACAAAGAAAGGATGAATTTGTAAATCCCTTGGAAAAAACTAACAACTTCTAATTGTATGACTCTATATTTAGAAAGGGGCTTTCCTGATGGCGCAGATGGTAAAGAATCTGCCTGCACGCAGGAGACCCAGGTTCGATCCCTAGATCAGGAAGATCCCCTGGAGAAGGAAATGTCAACCCACTCTAGTATTCTTGCCTGGGAAATCCCATGGACAGAGGGACCTGGTGGGCTACAGTCCATGGGGTCACAAAGAGTCAGACACAACTGAGTGACAAAGCACACATATTTAGAAAAGGGACCATGGATACAATAATAGCCTACTGCAGAACCATGTTCGAATGTAGATTCTGCCACTTAACAGCTATGAGATTTTGAGCAAAGCATTGAGTGCTGCATCTTGGTTGCCTAGTTTGTAAGGTAGAAATGATAACAACAGTAGTTACTTGCCAAGGTGGTTAAGAAGGTTAAATCAAATGATTTATGTTAACCTCCCAGAATAACATGAGGCACTTATTAGGCACTTTACTAATGGCATTTATTGATATATTCAGGATAATATTTAAAATTGTAACTACCAGTACTATGTACGGTGGAAATTTCAGTTCCCAAAGATGGCCATAATGGTGACTTTAATGGAACACCAGCCAAAAGCAGGAAGCCACAGATTTAGAGAGACAGAAGGGCATGAAGCATGTCCGTACAGGTTTCTGGAGGCTAATCTATCTTTCTCTTCCAGGGTCTGACTTGTAGCCGACAAGAACATGGAGGTCAGCGCCATAAAAGCCAAGGTGAGCTGGCAGGTGTCAAGCAAGCACCCAGGAATGAGGGGGCTCAAGAGCAGCAATTTAACAATCATCAAAGAACTTTTAAAAATTGGCATGGCTATCCCAGTGCATGCTTTCTGAATATTTGCCTTGACTATATTTATACTTTGCAAAGCATTTTCCTAGAGACTCTCATTGAATCTTTACAGGAATCTTATGAGTTCAGAAGAGCGAGTATCATTATACCCATTTTATACATGGAGATACTATAACCAAGAAAGGACTTACCAAATGCTATAGAGTGAAAAATAGTATGAAATCAGAACTCAAACCAAAGTGTCCTGGCTCTAAACCCAATGATATAAATTCTCTGTGCAGTGCTATAGTTTGGCTTCACTGTCTCAGCTCTTAACAGGAAAAACAGTATTAAAATAAAGTAAAAATCAGGCACTGTCAATCATCCTGATTAAGAAAATGGATAGAAATGGCCCTAAGCAGAATTGAGCTTTGTAATTTCTAAGCTGCTCCGTGTTCTGATAAGGGTACGGATTCTGTGTTTCTGGAAGGGGAGAGGTCAGAGGCTTTTACCTCCTCTAAATGGAAGGAATGCTGTAGACAGGACACCTGAGTTCGAGTTCTGGCACTTCCATCAAATCCTGGGGCAACTTTGGGCAAATTACTTCCCCTTTTTATGTCCCAATTTCTGAATTTCTCCCTCCTGTAAACAGTGTTAGATGAGAGTAGTAATTCTCACCCTTTCAGTCTCTCAATACACTGGAGAATCACAACACCATGATTAGCAGCAGGAGCTTAGTTAGGGAGGGATTCTTAAAGAGGCAAGTTGCAGAATTTCAAAGGGGCTTCTGTGTGGTTTGAACAAACTAGGAGATTTCCAGTTATTATAAAAGTTATCACACGCTTAGTATGTACCACATACTATGTTAAGTGCTTTGCATGAATTATTTTATCTTCACAATAAATTAATGAAATAGGAAAAATTTGGTACTCTCATGTAGAAATGAGGAAACTGAAGCTCAGTTTGACTAGATTGTCCAAGATCAAACAGCTAGCAAGTCGTAGTATTGAATTCTAACCAACCTATCACTGATCCTGGAGATTGCCCTTTTACCTCTATATTATATTGTTTTATATTCCCCCTCCACTCATCCCCTGCAGTTCATCAAACATACAACTGAAAATGTAAGTTTGTTGAGTCCCTCCCATGTCTAAGATTTGTGTCCTTAACCTTATGCTCAGGCTAAACTTTAGCTGAGAACAGGTTTGGTGCTGGGAAAAAGAAGGATGTAAAGAGGAAAGGAAATTAAGATTCGTTGTGTACCTGCTCTTCTTCCCATGCCTTGCTAGATAATTTAGATATACCTACCATCACCTTTAGTCCTTACAACCAGTCTTACAAGATGGGAATTTTATCCCCATTTACAAAGAAGACTCAGAGAAGTTAAGACACTCGCCTAAGGTCACAGATACAATGAGGGGCAAAAGCTGAGATTCAGACCAACTCTTCTGACTCCATATTTCTTCCTCATGCCTTTAAACACTGTGTACAATAGGCTTGAGGGTAGCAAGAAATAGGTGAGCCAGGATGAAATAAATATTACAGTTGATACCCACAACATGTCCTGGCTGGGTAGCGAGGATTAGACCCTGCAGGTCTCTCTCTAGGAATTTGAGCTGTAGCGTCTCACTATCGTCCTGTATATTTCTCCTGCAGAATTGCAGTGGCTCAATGGAAGCAGGCAACGCCAGTCAGTTCAGTGAATTCTTCTTCGTGGGCCTCACCAATGACCCGCAGCTTCAGCCCATCCTCTTTGCCCTCTTCTTCCTCATCTACGCAGTCACAGTGGTTGGAAACCTGGGCCTCTTTGCTTTCATTGTGGTGTGCTCCCGACTCCACACTCCCATGTATTTCTTCCTCAGCAACCTGTCCTTTCTTGACTTCTGTTATTCTTCAGTCACAGTCCCCAAAATGTTGATGGAGTTTTTATCTGGTTGCCAAACCATCTCCTTCTCTGGTTGTGTGATCCAGACAGCTTGCTTCGTGGTCTTTGCTGTCACTGAGTTCTTCCTCTTGGCCTCCATGGCCTATGACCGCTATGTAGCCATCTGCCGTCCTCTACTCTACCACGTAATCATGTCTCCAAGGCTCTGTTTGCAGTTGGTGACCGCCAGCTATGCAGTGGGCCTGACGAATACAGTGCTCCTCACTAGTTCAACCTTTCATCTCACCTTCTGTAAATCTCACGTCATCACTCATTACTTCTGTGATATCCCTCCCCTTTTAAAACTCTCCTGCTCTGACACACAGGTCCCTCAGCTTCTCCTCTTTGCCTGTGGTGGTTTCAATGTGTCCGTGTCCCTCACAGTAGTGCTGATGTCCTACACTTGTGTCTTTATGGCTATCATCAGAATCCCCTCAGCCCAGGGCAAACACAAGACCTTCTCCACTTGTGCATCCCACCTGACTGCTGTCAGCCTGTACTATGGAACCACTGTGTTCATTTACTTGCGCCCAACCTCTGATTACTTACTAGGCAGGGGCAGGCTGGTCTCTGTATTCTACACAGTGGTCATCCCTATGCTTAATCCCATGATCTATAGTCTGAGGAACAAAGATGTGAAGGAAACACTTGAGAACATTCTCAAGAAGACCTCACAATTCTTCTCGCACCCCATACCCAGATTTCCATGATATTCTATGCAGTAAAGGAACGGCAGAGAAGGGAAGGAGAGGTAGGTGACATATTTTTGGCCACCAACCATGTCTCAAGCATTATTCTAGGAATTTTAAATAGATTATGCCTTGAATCCTCTCCACAACCCTGGAAGTCAAGTCCTATTCTATTAGTTTTAGAGATGAGGAAACTGAGGTTCTGAATGGTTTGATGATTTGCTCAAGGTCATATAGCTAGAATGCGGTTCGATTCAGGACCTAGGTTTCAATTCAGGACCATTTGAAACTCCCTTTCTATTGCATTACACTTTCTGCATGAGGCAAGATGCCACCCTCTCTATTAACCTTCAGGGTCAAATGTTTCTGAAGTTTTTCCCTTCCTGGTAAATCTGGTATCTCAAATTTGTAATAGGTTCAGTACCCTAAGACCCACTCCTTTTCTTTACCTGTGGCTTTGTATCATGCCTTATCTGGTCATTACATTAATCGAGCACATTGTGTACAGAGCCCTACAACAGATGCAGGGGTGAAGAGGGATAACAGTGGAGAAATCTATCGTCACTAACTTTTGGCACCTTTCAATTTATTTAGAGGAAGACAGAAGATCTCACCCCAAAGGCAACTGAACTATGACTTTTCATTTAAATTGACATTTATTGAGTTTTTTTCTATGTGATAAATGCCAAATCAGTTACCTCATAATCCTCTTCCTAAAAGATTGCTCCCATTTTACAGATGAGAATGTGTGCTCAGTTGCTTCAGTCTTGTCTGACTTGCAATCCTATGAGCTGTAGCCCACCAGGCTCTTCTGTCCATGCAATTCTCCAGGCAGGAATACTGGAGTGGGTTGCCATTTCCTTCTTCAGGGGATCTTCCCGACTCAGGGATCGAACCCACATCTTTTATGTCTCCTGCACTGGCAGGCAAGTTCTTTACCACTAGCGCCACCTGGGAAACCCATTTTCATCTCACAGATGAGAACACTGTAGCTAAAAGCATTAAGTAACTCACTCAAGGTAGCACACAGCTAGGTAATGATGAATATAGGATTTGAATCCAGGTCTGTTTGTCCAAAAAGCTGATGTTCTTTCCATTCTGCTATATCACCTCTTGGATTACTAGAGTGCTTATTAATAACCACCAAGGGATATAAACTGTGAGCCTGGGACTCAAGGCAAAAGAAACAGGATGGATTGGGTTCATAAGAGAGCCTCTAGGAAGAGGTAGGTGGTTGAAATAAAATCTATGAAGAATGAGGAGTGGTAGGAATGGATGAGTAGTGAAGGGAACTGGGAATCAAAGAATGAGATAAAATAATGTAGATGCATAAAAGGTTGGTTTGGTTGGAATAGGGTAGAAGGCACATTTAAAAGCAAAAGCTTTGACAAAATGGGGAGATGTTTGGGTAGGGTTGATATACCTTCTCTGTAGGTCTTACTAACATCTAAGCAATTCCTTACTACCATAAGTGAGAAAGTTCTAAATAGAGCTCTGGTTTCCCTAATTTGACCCAAGATGGCTTTGAGTGTGTGGCTACCTACAATTGTGGTAAGAATCGAGTTTTCCAGAAGCCAAGACCTCCATAGAAATTTACTCTGCCTTTACTGTGTTTTCTGCCTATAGCCCACACTACTCAGATTGGCCAGACAACCAAGAAATGTGAGGTCTTGATCACAAGAAGCTATCGGGGAATTCCTTCCAGGCTCAAAGCTTGTGGTCAAGTTAGGGTTGGGCAAAGGCTAAAGTGTGACCTAGTGTCGTTGCTTCAAGTTTAAAGGCAGCCAGACCTAGAGGGGGATCTTATTTTTCTGACACCTTCCTTTTTTGGAGTTCCTCTGTCATAGCGCAGACTTTTCTCTATTTTATTGTTTGCATGGACTATTGCAGTAGCCTCTTAACTGAACTCATGGACTCCAGCCTTGCCCTGACCTATTTATCTACCATACAGATGCCTTATGATTATTCTAAGCAGAAGTCTGACTGTATCTATTGTTCTACTTTAACCTCTTCAATGGCTTTTCATTGTCTTCAGAATAAACTTCAAATACTTTAACTTATAGGTCCTCCACAATCAGGATATTACCTCTCAAACTTTATCTTTCACAAGCCCTCTTCCCTTTCCCATACTTCACATCATTCCCTTTGCACTTACTCTTTGCTTCATTCACAGCACCCTCACTTTTCATCAGTGAAATATCCTCCCCATATTTCTAATCATGACTTTCCTCCTGAACTGACAAAAAGTGTCCACCCCTTCCTTGGAACTTTAGAACCAATAATTACAGCCTGTAAGCATCCTATTTTACCGTATTCTATTCCACTTTTCTTACACTCATATCTTGCTTCCTCTACTAGATTGTATGCTTGGTAGAGGAAGACCAAGGTGTCTCATAGCTATATAACCATCTCAGTGCCTGGAGCAAAGTTGTCATTAATGAAATATTGTTCACAGGAAGAATAAGAACTTTTTATCGGGCTTTGCCATAGGCATTTGTGTCTACTTCTGAACTCTCTGAAAAGCCAGAGGTATGTTACTAACTCACCCCTCCTTTCCCTTTTCAATAGTCTGCCTCCTATCCAGTATTTACTTCCAGACCTTTTCTTATGCCTCTGCTAGCCTCCCTCCCCAGAACTATAGCATAGCATTTGCAAATACATTATTGTCTATTGATTTGATGTGTGGTGTATTCCCAACTAGATTAAAGCTCTTTCAGGAAATGGGTCACATCTGTATTTTACTTTTCCAGTGATAGTAAGCTGTGTAAAACAAGTGCCCATTGGGTGAACAAGTATGTATGTGCCTATAGCAGAAGAGGGTTTGTGTGGAGCTCAAAGCAGGGGTGGAGTTAACTAGATATGAGATTAAGAAGGGACTAGGGAGCTAGCATTTATTGTAAGCCTAGTAAAGGCCAGGCACTATGATAAATCCTCAGATTATTGCATTTAATCATCACAACAAACTGACTTAAAATTTTAAAAGTTAAGACTTTGTATTTTTAGCGCAATATTGGGTACACAGCAAAATTCAAGAAAGGGTACAAAGAGCCGCTTTATATATCTTCTGCCCCTACATATACATAGCCTCTCCCATTATCAATATTCCTCACCAGAGTTGTACATTTGTTTCTACTGATGAGCCTACACTGACACATCATAATTACTCAAAGTTCATAGGTTACATCAGAGTTCATCTTGGTGTTATATATTCCAGAGTTCAACAATGTGATTCTTATCTGGAGTGTCAGGGAATCTGTGGCTTGCTCGTTACACATGTACAGCCAGTATGGGATAGAGTCAGAATTTTGAACTCAAGTTTGTCTGAATTTAGAGCTTTCATGTTTAACTACCTTTCCAACCTTCATCAGAGTGATCACTTTTTTTATTTTTTTATTTTATTTTTTATTTTATTTTATTTTTTTTCCATTTATTTTTATTAGTTGGAGGCTAATTACTTTACATCATTGCAGTGGTTTTTGTCATACATTGAAATGAATTAGCCATGGATTTACATGTATTCCCCATCCCGGTCCCCCCTCCCACCTCCCTCTCCACCCGATCCCTCTGGGTCTTCCCAGTGCACCAGGCCCGAGCACTTGTCTCATGCACCCAACGTGGGCTGGTGATCTGTTTCACCCTAGATAATATACTTTTTTTAAAATCCGAGATTTGGGCTATACACATGTGGCATCAAGGCACTGAGAGAAGAACACTGGAGACTGAGTCAGTAGCAACACATTTTCTTTAGATTGAGCCCTTGCTTAACACATCCTAGACTCGGAGGGAAGAAATAAATAAAGGTAAGGAAGGAAAAAAGGAAGAAAGGGAGGGAGGGAAGGAAGAAAAGAGGAAAGAAAATATCCTGAAATGTCCTGTCCTTCCATTCATTTAGAAAGTGTACAGGTGGGAGTGGAGGGGTCACTGCACCCTCTGGTCTACTCTTTGGGCTTTCTCCTAAAACTAGACCCAGGAAGGAGAAGAGGAGATTTCCCAACAATAACTTTAGCCTCTTGCTCAGATACCTCAGAAAATACCACTTCTCATAGGAAAATGCCAAAACTTTCTTAGAAACATATTTTAAGAAAGGGGTCCTTGACAGTGTCTAGAATCTTTAAAGATTTTGCCAGTGGCCATGTGTCCTTTCAACAACTTCATGAGATTACAATGCCCGGGAGCCCTGCTTAGCTGAAGCAAGGTTGCTAAAGTCTGGTCCTGTAATTTCTTACTCCACTCTGAGACCATTGTCTCTTTGGTGACTTGACAAAAGTTCCCAAGAGATGCACATTCTAGAAGAAACTGCTTTTCCTTATGAATGAGATGACTCCTAATTTTCAGTGCCCTTGCCTAGGTGATAATGACCTCATCAACTTGATTTATTTTACTACTCCTTGTTTGGGCTTCATTCTAAACAATGTGCCTCATCCTCCAAAACCAAAGTATCTTGAGAGCATATTGCGAGGACAGGGCTTGGATTTATTATTTTTATGTATACTAGTAATAACAACCAAGCAAAGCACTTCTGGATGATTGAAAGAAAGTGAAAGTAAAAGTCACTCAGTTGTGTCCAACTCTTTGCAACCCTAGGCCAGAATTCTCTAGGCCAGAATACTGGAGTGGGTAGCCTTTTCCTTTTCCAGCAGATCTTCAAAACCCAGGGATTGAATCCAGGTCTCCCACATTGCAGGTGGATTCTTTACCAGCTGAGCTATAAGGGAAGCCCAAGAATACTAGAGTGGATAGCCTATCCCTTCTCCAGCAGATCTTCCCAACCCAGGAATCAAACCAGGGTCTCCTGCATTGCAGGAGGATTCTTTACCAATTGAGCTATCAGGGAAGCCCTCTGGAAGACTTAGTGCCTACAATCTCAGAACTTATTGTTCTACACACAATTTCTCATTCCATTTAACACGCAGAGAAACTAAGCCTCTGAAAGATGAAGCAATTTGACAGAACGAGAGAAAATTTGACAGATTCTTATTACTAGAAGGGAAATTTTAACACACCCTTCTCAAACTAATAAA